TTATATGTACTGTGCTCACGGTCATTCACTAACTGCCTAAGTTTTGTACCACTAATGGAATGTTTGGGCTTGTTTCCTAGGATGTAGATCACCCACATTCTCTGGAATCCAGAGGTTTATGCCATGCGCATAAATGCCGGCAAAATATTCTGGCAACCAGAGTAGAGTTATATGGGATCTGATTGGTCGCCCGTGCGTGCTTACTTGTCTGGGAAACAACACTCCATTCCTATCAAACCTTAAGGCTTCGGGGTTCTGCGCCTACATTCCTAATCCCTTATCAAATGGGCTACCGAGTGTGAGAGAGACGAAGTACGATTAGGAGGAGGTAGCGAATTATATTCTATAATATCAAGCATAATCTTATTCTCTATTTAAATCTCATAATAGGTTCGGTTCAGCGAGAAAGAAAGTCCTAAGGACGGTGGATAGTATTAACTGTTTCAGTTCAGATGGATAATTACTCTACGCTCGTTCGTATATACTTTCGGGCCGAACGCGACAGGACGCCAAGACTACCGCCACTCTTGCCTATTCCCCTTTCTAGGCCGCTTAGGGATCACGATATATCTGGTCCTAGTAATAATAATATACGCTCCTACTAGACGGAGGCTACTTCTGGCTATACCCTACCATCCCAGACAAAGTAAGGGGCACATATAAGTTTGATGTAGATCCCTCGACGTATTCTATAGGCCTGTCCTAGAGCAGTCGAGAAAAAGAATGTTACCTTATCGTCCGTATAACTAGAGAGAATGTGTGTGATCTACATCCTAGGAAACAAGCCCAAACATTCCATTAGTGGTACAAAACTTAGGCAGTTAGTGAATGACCGTGAGCACAGTACATATAATAGCTTTCGCAGGGAGGCTAGGACGAATTGTTCTTCTTTACCACAAACGGTACGACGGGTTCATACTGATATTCTCTTCCACCAAATTGTCTTCTCGGTTTAAGCAAACGCCTTTGCAAAAATGCGTGTCGCTCTTCTTACCCTTTTGAGCGGTGCTTTGGTCAATGCCCTCGCTGGAGAAGAAGCTCTAGAAAAGTGGGGTGGGCCTAGAGGTGGAGATAAGGTTTCCCATGGGGGCAACAATATTGGGAATGGGGATGGTGGTGGGATTAACATCAGCACCGGGGGTGGTGACATTGGGGACATTGGGGTTGGAGTTGGGGGTGGGAGTGGCTGCGACCCGGCGGCTTGTGACGCTAAAGTAAGATTCGGGATACCTAAAGTCGTTGCTGATACTAACACCCTGATTCACTAAAGTGTCGGAGATTAGGTGACCAATCAGGTTACTGCGACAACGGTAGTGAATCTCCTAGTTTACTTGGACTTGTTCTAGGGCAAACTACGCCGTTAGTCTCTTTCTCGATCGTCCTTGGATTGCAGAGCCATCTGAAAACTGATATGAAATAGAGGCTGCATTTGTGTCCCAAACCCGTCAGATTGTGAACCCCCTTCTTCTTCTTGTAACGGGCAATGTGTAAGGTGGCCGCAGATTGAGTATTTTGAGACGACGACTAAGTGGTGCTCGATAGTGCGCGTCCGGCCTGACCTGTTGCAATGGGGCCTGCACCGACCTCCAGAACACTTCCAATAACTGTGGCACTTGTGGGAACACTGTGAGTTATCATCTGTCGTTAATGGAGATGCAGTCACTGACGCTCGATATGATAGTGTGCGGCAGATGAGGTATGCTGCAGTGGAGCCTGCACCAATCTTCAGACTAGTTCTGATAACTGTGGCACCTGTGGAAACACTGTGAGTTATCATCTGTCGTTAATGGAGATGCAGTCACTGACGCTCGATATGATAGTGTGCGGCAGATGAGGTATGCTGCAGTGGAGCCTGCACCAACCTCCAGAGTACTCCCGGTAGCTGTGGCACCTGTGGAAACACTGTGAGTTATTATCCGTCGTTAATGGAGATGCAGTCACTGACGCTCGATATGATAGTGTGCGGCAGATGAGGTATGCTGCAGTGGAGCCTGCACCAATCTTCAGACTAGTTCTGATAACTGTGGTACTTGTGGGAATACTGTGAGTTACCAACTCTTATACTACTAGGGATTTTCTATTATTTTTGATATTCTTAATGCTAATATAATCGCTCTTATTTTTATAGTGCCTTGAGACAGAGACTTGCTCATCAGGCTCCTGCATATGCGCAGTCTTTCCAGGTTTCCAGCAACAGATCAAATCCCCTGTGACCAGGCCAGTTGATATTGCCATTGGTGACTTTAATGAAGATCAGTATCTTGATATTGTGACTCCAAATGGCAATGGTAATTCTGTGAATCTCTTGCTAGGAACTGGATCAGGGAGCTTCCAGCCACCAATTGCATTCACTGTGCAGCAGAACCCACAAGCTGTTGCAACAGGCGATTTCAATGAAGATGGAAATCTTGACATTGTGGCTACAAATGTCAATAGTATGTCTGTGAGCCTCTTGCTAGGGACCGGATCAGGAAGTTTCCAGGCACAGACCACATTTACCGTGGGGACCTTCCCAAGAGGTATTGCAGTGGGTGATTTTAACGAAGATGGGCATTTTGATATCATAACTGTGAACCAGGGCAGCAGCACAGTGAGTCTATTAATCGGCAATGGACTAGGGAGCTTCCAGGCGCAGACCACATTCCCTGTGGGTGCAAGTCCATGGGATGTTGCAGTATATGACATTAATGAAGATGGCTATCTTGATGCGGTGGTGACAAGTCTCAATGGTAACTCTGTCAGCGTCCTACTAGGGACTGGATTGGGAGGTTTTGAGCCGCAGGTCATTTATCCTGTAGGGAATGGACCGTTCGCGGTTGCAATAGGCGACCTTGATGGAGATGGCTTTGTTGACATCGTGACTGCGAATCGGTTTGGGAATTCAGTGAGCGTTTTGATTGGGGATGGATTAGGAGGCTTTGAGCCGCAGGTCATTTATCCTGTGGGGAATTCACCAAGGGGGGTTTCAGTGAGCGATCTTAACGAAGATGGCTATAATGACATCGTGACTACGAATGAGCACACCAACGACGTGAGTGTGTTGTTGGGGATCGGATCGGGCAGTTTCCAGCCACAGGTAACATTTCCTGTGGGAGCTCTCCCACAAGCTGTTGCAACAGCCGATTTCAACCAAGATGGCTACATTGACATCGCGACCGGCAATGCCAATGATAATTCCGTGAGCGTCTTGTTAGGGAAGGCTTGTGGCACTTAGAGAGCTTTTGGATTTCTCTGTCGACCATGAGATAGGTGTTTAGATAAGAATATCTCAGATCTTTTGTGGCATGGAGGTTTTCTGGATATTTTCCGCGACTGCAGCTCGGTGACGAATGTGGCGACTTATGGCGAGCTGAATGCAATTTGTGGACACAATATAATATAATCAAGGGAACAAATAGCACCTTTCAAGCCTAATATTTTCAAACTTGCCAGGAAAACTGTGCACTCTCCACGCGTGAGAAATACTTTGTATAGTTCAAGTTTTGGCAGAATTAGGGTGCGAGCGAGGTGAGGTTGGTCAAAGCGTCGATTTAAGGACTTTGAGCAAGTTCAGGCGACTAAGGGGCTTGCAGCCGAGCGCTGTTCTCCCGTTTGAAGTACGCCCACAGAAGAGCATTTATTAGATCTTTTTGCCTGCTTCCTAGAGGCAACGGCATGCTGCTGCCTCTAGAATTTTGTACCCCAGTCCGCTAGGTTGGCTAGTTTCTAGGTCTTGGCGCGAGGACACAATGAGTCAAGAGCAATTAGCTATACTACTAAATGTAGGAAAGGGTAACCGGAAGATGATACATTTTCTGTGTCAGGCTAGATAGAGGACTATCGCTAGTCCTTAGTGCGGTACAAGATCTGGGTACCGAAGCCTCCGCAAGAACAGTGCGGGCACTTTTGTGGAGCGGGAGGGCCTCCATCACTCCAATACCCATAGAAGTCTGGTCTACTCAAGCGCACGGTGTCTCCATCAAAATCAGCCTGTTCTGGTGTGCTCTGCGTGCCTTGAATCTAGGCAGCAGTAGGGACCCAAGTATTCAGCTGAATCACATAATGCTCTTGGATTTCCTGCTTGGCCATGGACAATTCGGAGTCTGAGGCGGTTACAAGGTGCCCGGAAAACAAAGTCAAGAAAGGACAATCGATTCAGAAGGTCGGTAAATACCTCGGTAAATACCTCAGAGCTGGTTATTTTTTCGCTATCTTTGTTTCTTTGCTCATTGAGCCCTCTATAAATAATGAAGGCTTTTACCTGATTGCACTAGCTCGTAGTGCAAAATAAACAACATACATCCTACATTTATTGGTGACCACGCGCAGTCAACAGGGACAAGAAGAGTATGGTTTGGCTGTAACGGGTCACCTGTCGCTGCGGTTTTATACGGAACGCATTAGACCGTAGCGTCAGATAGAGCCCGTCCGCGCTCCCTTGTGGGGAGGCAATGTGTCTCTATTGCAGTGGTTTCTATATACAGAGGGAAGGCGGGAGGGACAAAATTGAGTCTTGACTGCGTGTGAGAGGACGAGCTACCCCCAGAGGCAAGCAACTCACTATTGTGAGGCAGTTGTATGAGGGAAGAAGCCCTCAGTAATGTCGGTAGACCTCGCCAAAATCGCGGGTCGGGTTTCGACTCTTGACCCAAAACCCGCCAAGAGATTTGAATACAGGTAATTTATACCAAATTACACGCATTTGTATGTGTTACAGTCTGTATTACTATTGTAATTCAGTAATATACAGGCTCATGGGTTCTTGGCGGGTTCGCGGGTACCCGTAGGGTACCCAAAAAAGCAATATGGCGAGGTCTAAATGTCGGAGTCCATGTCACGTGAGGCAACCCCAATAAAACTACTTCCATTATGACCAGATGTAAAAGCGCACGATCATCTCCACCCTATCTTCATCGAACATATCTCAATGAGCGCGCTGTTCTCCTAGCTTGGTTGAAACAGTCCAGACCCAGCCATATTAATAGCGCCAATCACCATCTAACACGAGCGCGGGAATCCCAGAATCACGAGCGGCCGCCCTAGATCTCATATAATTGGCCAAAAGCGACCCCCTTATGCTAGTGATACCAATGGTCCACATGCAAGAACTACGGGCAAACATTGTCTCCCGGTTTGCAATTCAGGAGCACCGAGGGCGTAGTCGCTATAAGAAGTTCCCACATTATTTCAAAAATCGGTCCTGTGCCACGTCGCGGAATACGGATTCTTTGAGCAGGCTGCCTGTGGAAATTCTCCTCATGATATTCAAAGGCCTTGGCAGCATTGACAATACCCTTTACCTTGCCCGCAGTTGCAGGACGATGCATAGCATCTTCAACGAGTCCCGCCATCGCATGACCATTTTTAAATCCATTATTGTATGGTCACGGCCCATATTCCCTTGCATGAATTGACAATTCAGAAAGCGTACCTCACCTCAGCACAAGCACGATCTTCAACTCTGCCTCCTTCAAGGCGTCTTCCAAAACCTCCCATCCAAACCCAGCTCCACTCCGAATTCGCTGACAGACTTAAACCACAATCTTGGGACTCAGTACTCAAAGGTCTATCCGAAAGAAGTGATTTCACTGATTCGATGGTCTGGGAGGTTATTTATCGCTGGCATGCTATGAAGCTACTTTTTGACCTTTACTGTGATCCGCTTATAAGAGAATCATATATGCGTTCTGCTATTCTTGACGAGTCACATGGAGTCGAGAATGCCTTAATGAGTGAAGACCTTATTTCCAATCCGTCCATCTCTTGCTCGAAGGTGAACCAGTTCAAAGCGACGCAAATTCAGAAGGCCTACCAGCGTTTTTACCAAGCCCTCACTGCTCATGGGGTGGTAACAGAGACGCTCTGCATCGCCAGGGAGCAGTCTATGAAACCTCGAACGAGTATCTGGAGGGCTTCGACTATGCTTGGGATCTGCGAATTAATGACCCGGGCAGAGCCCTGGTACAGTAGAATTCAAAAACAGTTTACCCCCCGGACACTCACGCTTTGTTTCTCGGCCCGTACCCGAAACGGCGCTAGTCCATATATGGTTACATTGAAAATTAACCCTGTCTAGCAGTTTTATCATTTTTAACGTACTGAGCTGTATTGTCTCCTGAATCATGGTAAGTTACCGTATTTTCCCATGGAAGCTTCTAGGTAGGGGATCTGGAAGGGGTGGGGGAGATCTGCCAATCTGGCATGATCCACACCCACTCCATTTCTTCATCTGCATCTTACTGTACACTGCTAAAGCTGTACAGTACTTCGGTTTACTGCTGTAGAAGACTACCCTGGTAGGCTAATATGGTTCTCGTTGGTGCTCCTCATGGCTCTTGCTTCCTTTCATCGCCCTCTTTCGTTATTGGGCGTCTGCCACAGTTGGTATCGCTCAGCTATGCTGACAGCCCTCCAGGGCCTTAATCGTCTGTAGATATGAACTGCACCTCGTACCAAGCTGGTTACATATCTCAATCCCGGGAGCTTGAAGGATGGGAAAATGCTTCGCAATATGCCCCTACACCTGGAAACTTTCGGAGCCCTTACGCTATGCAGTCCGAGTGTAGTCCCTCCCCTTCGATCTCGCTCGAAGAAGAGCCCAATGTCGCAGGCCGACTTCAACCGAACAATGTACCTCTGCTCCAAGAGTCCGACTGGGATGCGGATAAGATCTACGACGAGTATCCGCCGCGCTGTATCCACTACTTCATAGAATGGCGTGTCGCCCTCAACAACGAGGCTGTGGTAAAGGACACGGGAGAAGATCTAGTACTGGCCCCAAGTGCCTACTGGCGTTATTTCTGGAAAAGAAGCTACAGACTGTCCTTGAAGAGAAGGTCGGCCGCAACAAGAGAGTGAGGGTCGATGACACAGCGATCGTCGTGGCAGTCAATGACCGTTCCCAACGTGATTTGACTAAGCGCTTCAACAAAACCGAAATTGCTTGGGCTCCTATCAAGAAGCAGTTGCGGATGTGGTCGAGTCATTTCTGTCGTGGAAAGCGACTTACACTGAGGATCTGTTTCAACTACGTAGAGGATTGCACCTCTCCATCTACTGGACGGAAAGGGGAGAAGAGAGGTAAATCTTCCGTCACAAAAGAATGCTCGATGATCGGGATACCCAGCTTGACGTCGAAGAAAATGCATGCGGCCAACAATCAATTTGGCGACGTGTATATGACTTGATGAAATGCGGTTCGGCTGCATGCCACTTGGGTCCCTACTGTTGGCTAGATCCAATGGGGAAAAGGCATTACGGACTCCGCACGCATACTCTCCGGCGTTTGGTTACCTACGTTGAAAAGGGTGGTATCCTAGAGACGCATAGAGATGTGCCGGAGGAGATCCGGGATGAGCTCTATATGGAGGAACAGCAGAAGCAGGAGAAGGAAAAACGCAAAGGCAGTAACATTCTTGGAGATGCAGGGCCTTATCAACCTATCAACATCAATGTTCACCCATCCCACCCTACTAGTTTGGCCCCGACGACCCCGGCTGATGCCACAGCAGAGCTGAGAGCTATAAGTCCATTGAATATCCCGGGGCTCAAAGATGTAGCTGTCAAAGAATACGGTGAGTGGCTTGCATCAAATGTATCCGATAATACTCTCAAGGATGAATTCCGACAAGCGTGTGATATAACGCTTTCAGATGGCTTCGAACTTGGGCACATCTTCAAAGATCAAAACCCAAGTTTCTTCGTTGAAAAGGGAATCAAGCCTGGAATTGCCCGGAGTTCCGTAGAAAATATCCGTGACTGGGTCGAGAACGTGAAGAGGGTGATGCCGATCGTTGAGATGGTATAAACCAATTTTGGTGTTGCTAGCAGCCTCTGGCGTTTTGAATATTTACAGAGATATACATGTACAGGATGGAAATTCATAGGCCCGCCCAAGTACGCTTAGTCGTAGACTTCCCCCTATCCCTACTTTCCTACTTTCAATCTCTTGGCAGCAATATTCAATAAAGTGCTCCACGGCCGATACCACCGTGGCGAGCTACCCTTTTCAACAACCTATTTCGTGTCCTCATGAGTTGCTTATTTGGCGATTTCAATAATGACTTTGCCGACTTGTTGTCCACCCTCGAGCCTTTTATACGCCTCACGGAATTCTGCGAAGGGATAGACCTGATCGATAATAGGTCTGACTTGGTGTCGTTCCATGGCTTGAAGCATAGCTTCGAAATCGATCCGCGAACCAACAGTAGATCCGGTTACTGTGAGGGATCGAACGAGGACATCTATTGGCGGAAGGCCGCCGCCGAAACCGCTTGCGAATCCAATCAAGATGACGGCGCCAGTGATCTTGGTCGATGCTGCGGACTTCACGATAGTCTTCTCTCCGGCAATATCCAGCACCTTGTCAACACCTTTGCCACCCGTCAGAGCAAGGATCTCCCGATCCCAATCAGGAGTGGTACTGTAATTCACAACGGCATCGGCTCCAAGCTCTTTAAGCTTAACGACCTTCTCATCCGAGGAGGTAATCGCAAGGACACGAGCGCCGAAGATTTTCGCAAATTGCAACGCGAAGAGTGAAACACCACCAGTGCCTTGGATCAACACCGTGTGGCCCGGCTGAAGGGGTTCAACTTTGTTGAGGGCTGTCCAGGCGGTAACAGCTGCACAAGGAAGGGAGGCAGCCTCGACGTAGGACATATAGTCAGGAATGCGGACAAGTGCGTCTTCGTTGAAAATCACGCATTCAGCTAATAGCCCATCGACAGTGAAACCGACGCTGCTTGAACGATATTCCGGGGTATATGGGCCAGCAATCCAGTTTGTAGTACAACCGACGGCGACGCGGTCACCCTTTGTGATCCGTGCAACATCTTTTCCGACTGCAATAACCTCTCCTGCACCATCGGATACAGGAATTCCGTTTTCCTTGGTCGTCGCACGATATTCACCCCTCAAAAGGGCCGTGTCGCGGTAGTTGAGCGAAGTAGCGTAGACCTTAATCAGGACATCGCGGGGACCTGGACTTGGGAGAGGTTCATCACGAAGTTCGGCGGTAACTTTGTCGCCGGTATTGACGATGCGAACAGCTTTCATTTGCGTCATGTTCAGGGTATCAGGTTTGGCTTCAATTGAACAAAAATATTTCGAGAAACTAAGAATCTCTTCATGGATAGCATATGGAGGGGGGTTACGGAGCTATATAGTTTTGGATCTGTTGAGAAAGGTGCGAAGTTGGATAAAACGGTGACGTAAATGACACCTAAATGTCGAGTGAATTAGTGATGGATTACGATAGCACTGTCGCAGTCGCGGACCTTCTCATGAATTATAAATAATTTCTCCCCGGCTCCCACCGGTACGGAGATATCTCACCGGCTCTTGAGTTGTCGATCCGCTTCCATCGGTATCCCATCGGTATCCCACAGCCGACGTTCGTGTACGTCGGCAAGGGGTGATTGTAAACCGTAAGTGGTTCTAGCATTACTGACTTCCTTTCAATAACCGCTTTACATGTGCTGCCTCGATATCCAACGACATATCTCCTACATCGAATGACTCGCTGTATACCATGACATAGATCAACTGCAGGTTTGAAGGATGGATTGATTTGGACGTGAAGGCTGCAAAAGGCAACATAGCTTAGCCGTAGTTCGAGCCCAAGCTGTGGGAGGAACCCGATGTCGACATCAAAGCTTCTTATATTCAAGAAGCAGCAAAAAGGTTAGCGGGGATGGAACTGTTGTGTGAAGGGTGCCTCAGCAATCTACCGCCAGGATGTCCGTATTACGTAAGTTTGGTGCCAATAAGAGACCTTCGATCATATATCACATCACCACAAGGTCTTTGTCAGAAGCTACAGTACAGCAAGAATTATGTACGTGTCATTCGGAAAGCACGTCCAAAGGGTGAGTGTTCAAACACCTTGCTCTCAATTGGGGATTTGATCCTGAGTGTTTCCTAGCGCCAGAAAAGGAGGTTTCAGCGAAAGAACAAACCGTGGCCATTCTGAATTTTTTGGGTATTGTAAGAAATGGGTTCTGTTGTCTCAAGGATCAACGGTTAAGCCTGCGTGTCGAAAGTGGCCTCTGGCACTGTCTTGTCGTTCCCCAACTTGGTTGATACACCGTTCAAGAAAGGACCCAAATTCTCGGTCGGGATCATCTGCGTAGTAGCTCCAATTGCGCCTTATGAAGCCTTTGAGTTCAGCAAAAAACTCCTCAATCGGATTCAGGTCAGGCGAGTACGGAGGTAAATAAACAAGTTTGACTCCCGCATCCGCACACATCTGCGAAATCCGCTCAGAGTGGTAAAATGATGCATTATCCATGACCAGAACAGACTTTGGCTCCGGCCATCTTCCGCAATGATGAAGAAGCTCATCCAGGAAATCTTCAAACACAGCGGCATCCGTTGACCCACGAAAGACACGAGTAAACAAAATGCCATCTTGGCCATATGCAGGAAGAATTTGATACCGCTCGTCACGGTGAAACTGTGACACTTTTCGAGGTTGCACAGTGGTGACCAGCCTGTCCGTCGGAAACCAACTCGTTTATCACATCCAGATTCATCAACATAAACAAGGTCGTACGATTCGAATTCCGACAGATTATGGAGATAAACTTCTCGTAATTCGGCACTCTGTTCTTTAGCACTCTGTCTGGCGGTCTTTTTGGACCAGCCTTTGGATACAAGGGCCCTCCTGATACTAGAGGTGGTTACAAGCGTCTGAAATTCAACCCATAGAAAGACAGCCATTTCCTCCAGATACAGACCTGGCTTTTCTAGCCGGTGGTCACAGAGTGCCTCTATCATTGGTGGTGTTATACTTCGTCTCCGACCGATACGAGTCGGGGGAGCATAAACATGTCCAAACTGTCGCAAGTTTCTGCGGATGTTTTTGATCGTTTGTTCGCTGCATTCTGCTGCCTCCGCCATTTGAGAACGGGTTAACGACTGGCTTTCTATCATATCGCGAATGAGATGCAGCTGTGGAAAGGATAGTCTCGGTGCCATAACGTGCAAAAGTTCTAGTAGTTCCAAGATGGTGGTGCTGAAAAGGATGAAAGTCAAGAATGGAGGGGCACTGAAGGTAGGGTCGTATGGGAGTTTCATGCAAGATACGGTATTATACGTTAAGCAGTTGTTCTAGAAATAAAAAAGTTCTATTCCTAGAAATGAATTTATTTACGCCCTATCTTTGAACAGGTTAGCGTAGTTTCGGGTACGGGCTGAGAAACAAAGCTTGAGTGTCAGGGGGGTAAACCGTTTTCGAATTCTACTGTAGAAAAGTTGGAAATTTTGGAAGTTGTTGAGTTTGTTTGGGGCTTTCTTGGCCGCAAGGTCTTTCAAGGAGAAAATGCTATTTCTGATAGGGTCGACCAAGACTACTTGGAGCAATCGGACCCAGCCAGTCTGGAGTGGAACTGGCTCTTCTTCTTTTTGCAAACCACCCAATATCTGCGACCGCCACATACTATTGAACTTTTATTGCTTCTCACCTGGGTCGAGCCGCAGGCTTGCGATATTGTGAACAAGTCGAAGTATCTGATTGATCTGGGATTTTCCTTGGATGCCTCAGAGGTACGTTCCAGAGATGCAGGTGCTAATTCACCAGAGACTTTCGTTCCTGTTCATGTGGTAGATGAGGACGTGGTGAATAGCTAACCCAGCGTTGGGGTAGTGTATCACGATTTGATGCCAGAAATAGATGGGAAAGGTACAGGAAAGTGCGGTGGAACTCTGACGCAAAGGGAAAGCTACTCTTTGATGAATTATCATCTGTACAGTGGGTTGAGCGTATCGAGAAAGCTTAAGTCAACGTCCAACATTTTCGTGGAACATAATCTTTGCCAGGCTGTTAAGACAATGGATTCATAGCTTCTGGTGGTGTGCGGTGTAAATCACTGTTGGAGAGACTAAAATGAGGTGTGCGGGGGATCAGCTGCGGGCACGACCGCACAACCACACCAAGAACCAGGGGATAAAGGATATGAAAATGACTCCACTTCTTCTTACCCACTCGCACCCGGGCCCAGACGTTGGTATTGCAAAACAGGTGAAAGCGGTATTACACTGGAAAGAAAACATGACACCAATCGCATGCATAAGGACTGAGATCGTTGCGTGTGAGATGCAGTGACGCGTTATTTAACCGATGATACTGACGGCCAAGCTGATACTGAGTAGATCTTTTTTAACGGATGGGGACATCGTGCACTGGAGAACCTGTAAAGGCTCAGCCACGGCCGACCTTGGGTCCGACTCGTCGATCTCGTCCAGAAAGTGGGGACCAATATACACTACCGGACGGGGCGTATACCAGGGCCTTCTGCAAGGCACGCTCGGCCTGCTGAAGAGAGACCTCTCTAGGCAAAACGAAACAAAGATGCGAGCTCTCGCGGGCCTCCTATACAATGTTAGCCACTACAGAAGAGTCAAGGCTTGTCATCAGACTGTCTTTATGGCTCGAGAGGACAAATTTGCGTGTGAGTGTACCAATAGCCGAGAGTCAACCACCCCACTTGCGCTGGGGACCTGAGATCGGGCTCGATCAGTCGAAGGGGTGTCGTCTTGACTGACCTTCTTTTGATTCTGCCTATAGCGCACCAGGAAATGGAGCGAACAGCTTAAAGGGGAGACAGGTGGGACTATACCAGACGGCGATCCTTTGGTCGTGAACTCTCTCAATGGCCTGGCTGCGCCTTGGGATAAAGCGGACTCTTCCTCTCGATTCGTGGCTGAGATGACCAAAGTTAGCTTGGTAGGCTAGAAATGACGGGACTTTTGCCTCACCTTCTCCTTGCATGCGGACTTGGACTAACAACCTGGTCGTCTACGAAGGTTCGGCTCACCTGCCATCAAGACAAAACATCAGCCTTTCTCGATGCCATCCGAGGGCAACGAGGATCACCCATTGGACGGCACGAGCTCCGGCCACAAGGAGGTTATCCGTTGAGGGTGTTTGGTTGCCGAGGGAGGGACAGGGGTATACGCTCATTGGAATTGGGTCTTCTATCGAGTAGACAGTCGACTGAGAGAAAGAACCGAGGTAGATAATGTGAACCGCCCGGTGACTCATCATCGATGCCACCAGTAGTCATGTGGAAGTGATAGACAGCATGCAATCGCATCGGTACAGTATAGGGGAGCGCGACCAGACAAGGCATTTGCTCGCTTCGCATTCGACTCGAGTGACGAAAATATGAGGGGACCTTCAGCTGTAATATCCGAGTCAGCAAGTCTTTAACCAGTTGGAAGAGTTGTTATAGCTTACCTATTCGTAAAGTTCGCAAGGTGTACACTTTGAGACGAGACGGTCAATTAGCTTCGTGATCATATCAGCTTACCAACTAGATCACTTACAATTCTCTTCAGCAATGCAGTCACCATTCATGCCGTGTTGTATTCAGGTTCGTCGCACTCTCTCCCCAGCTGCCACTTCAACAAGGCCGCGCTGGGTCCATCGAGCAATTTTCCGAGACGGCAGAGGCGCACGGCGAAGGATGTTTCACGGGCGGCGATAAATGGCATGAAAATCAGTAAAGGTGCTCGTGTTTTGGTGCACAAAAATTTGCACAAATAGCCAGATATAGTGCAGCAGAAGGCGCGATAAATCACTTAACTTACCAGGAAGAATGAACGTCTCAAGCTTTCTATACGGCGAAGCTCGCAATCGGGTGTCCGCACCCCGTTATTGGCCTGCTAATTTGATTTATATACTTTACCTAGGGTATGCTGTGTGTATGAAGCGATGGGACAAGATCTGGTGTACAGGCTATGGCTTTATACAGCACCAACGGGGTGTTGTATCCTCGGGGCCACTCTGGTGCGATGTCAATCGTTCACTGTCATGCATTAGCTTGTAGAGTAGATCAGTAAGTTACTCGATGACTTACATGTTCGGGTGGCCAAAACTAGGGACGAAGAGACGGCAAAGAGCTGTGGTCCTTGCGCTCGTGCATTGTGGTCGATTGTCCTCGGTTCTAGATCGCCTCTACTTCAGTATTAGTAGAACTTTAGACAGGTCAGGCTAAGATTCACATACCTGCGACGTGGATATTCGCGCTTTTGCCTGGGAAAATGCACAGGGGCTGTGCAGTAGATCAGCTCAGTCGGCTGTGGCGGAGAGACATCTTCACATATACACTTGGGCCACCCAGCCTAAGTCTTGCCTCTTTGATCGGCTGACTGGTTGGAAAAGTGGATCTGCTAAGAACAATATCTTCCACAGGTACTGTATGGCTTGCTGGTCCACGTTGTATTCTACTGTATAAATGTTAGTACTGTGCATGTTCCAGTACTGAGTCAAAGGGGGAGAACTTATCAAGTGCCTCAGACACAAGGCCTACTCGACTTTGCATAGTCAAGTGATAGAATCATAGAGCAAATTTCTGGGGGTAGAGGACATATTTATAGACTTCTCGGCTCGTCCTGCTAAGTGCTCTGCTTGGTAGGAAGCGTTGAGGAAAACACCTCTTAATTGAGGCCTGTTGAGACCCATGGCTTCTTTTTAGCAAAGCGATTTGTAGTGACATCTTTGATTCCTTGGATGCTCAGCGAGAGAGGCGAGTAAGAGCGGTGTTGATAGAAAGGGATGCTGAGTTGGTCAGGCAATGACAGGCCCATATTTCTTGTCCTAATCAAATCATCTGTGAGCGACTCAACGTTAAATCACCGAAAAGCTCCTACAATTCCATCGCTAGGAATCATGGGATTTTTTTTCTGGCCTCGCTTTATTGTTGTGTTGGTTGTGTTGAGCTGTGGGTCTGTCCGTCTAGACTGCAGAAAGCGAGGTCACGGTAGGATGTGCGGGTGCTCGACCCGTTAACCCATTGAAGCTTGGCCAAACGTTGTCAACACTCAATTTTTGATGTTGTGACGAACCTCCGGAGATACTTTTCTTTTTTCGAATTTTTTTTTGGTGACTGTAATTTTTACAATACTGTTTACCGAGTTTCTGAGACTTTCAACGAAAGGGGAAGAGATGTCTGATTGAAATATATCTCTCTTCTTTGGGCGTTTATATCTGGCTCTCAACGTCTTAAGGCGTGATCGGTTTCCCCAACCAACTTATTGACCACTATCCCTTCTATCAAATTTACTGCCAACCGCTCGTTGAAAATGAAAACAACTATTCGAAAGCTAACTGCATTGATTGACTAACGTGGTGATCGTAAAACCCAGTCCATAGCCACCTGCGTCTGCATAGTCTATAAGATACACCAAGGCCTGATGGAGTCGGAACTGCTCAGATTTTGACTTTCTCCTGTGGACAAAATGGATGCCCCAACAGCTTGCCAGATCAGAAAAAATAAGAAGAACAGCAGCCCAGTGAATTGCCAATCCTTAGTGATAAAAACAATAATCTGGAACGTTCCGATCATGTCCCTCTGTTAGTAAGTGAAGCACTTCGGCTTCAAATGCTCTTGCTGACCATCGCAGCCCTCCTATTCGCAACACGAAGAAAAAACAAGATATACTTTGGTGACCTTGCCCTTTCAACACATCTTGAAAGTGCTAGCAGACCTCGAACGCGACGATTAAATAAGAATAAGAATACATTAGGATGTTCTTAATAAATCTCGCTACCTGTTCCTAATTCGCACTTCGTCTCTCTCACACTCGATAGCAATTGATAAGGGGTTTGGTAGGTGCGAAAACACACGGTCTCAAGTCTCAAATGTTTTTGGGGGAGTGGGGGTGGTTTCTCAGAACATGACTAGGCCAGGAGCATGCAGGAGGACCAATCAGATCCTACAACCCTTTATTCTGATCGCCAGAACATTTTGTCTGAATTTATGCGCATACCATAAACCCCTGGACTTCCACATTATAAATGTAAGTTATTCACATTCACATTCCGGGAAACGTGTCCAAACATTCCATTTGTGGTACAAAACTTAGACAGTTAATGAATGACCGTGAGCACATTACATATAACCCCCTCCGTTGAAAGGATAGGACAACTTGTTCTTCTTTACCACGAGCATTACAACGGGTTCAAGCCGATATTCTTTCCATGCCAGATTTTTTCTCGGTTTAAGCAAACGCCTTTGCAAAAATGCGTGTCGCTCTTCTTACCTTTTTGTGCGGTGCTTTGGTCAATGCCCTCACTGGAGAAGAAGATCTAGAAAAGTGGGGTGGGCCTAGAGGTGGGAATAAGGTTTCCCACGGGGGTAATAATATTGGTAATGGAGATGGTGGTGGGATTGACATTGACACTGGGGGTGGTGACATTGGGGACATTGGGGTTGGGGTTGGCGGTGGAAGGGGTGGGGGTGTTTGCGACCCAGCCGCTTGTGACGCCAAGGTAAGTTTCGTGGTTACCAGAAGCGGTTATATGAGTACTAACATGCTGGTTTATTAAAGTGTCGAAGTTTAGGTGGCCAATCGGGTTACTGCGACAACGGTAGTGGATCTCCTAGTTTACTTGGACTTATCCTTGGACAAACTACGCCGTTAGTCTCTTTCTCGGTCGTCTTAGGATTACAGAGCCACGTTAAAAGCTAACATGGAATAGAGGCTGCACCTGTGTCCCAAACCCGCCAGATTGTGATCCTTCTTCTTCTTGTAACGGGGAATGCGTAAGACGGCCGCAGACTGCATATTTTGTGACTACGACTAACTGGTGCTCGACAGTGCGCGTCCGGCCTGACCTGTTGCAATGGAGCCTGCGTCAACCTTGATACCGATGCAAGCAACTGTGGAACTTGTGGGAACACTGTGAGTATAACCTAATCTTCACGCTTCTATAATGTTTGCTATTCTGGCGCTGCTCTCAATGCTAACATGATTAATTCTCACGCTTCGATAGTGTCCTGCTGGGTCAACATCGAGTTGCTCATCAGGCAGCCTTACCTGCTTAGGTAGTGAGATTTGATGGAGTGGGACACACTGAGGCCTTAGTAGGGTGCGGTAGCAACGTAATTCACTGCCGAGCTGGCCACACCACCGGAAACGCGTCAGTTGATTTAAACCTTTTTTCTTCAACCACCCACCATGCCACCAATTCGCACTTAGTCCTTAAAAATTTCAACAGGGCGAAAAGGGTATGATCTCGTTAGTTACCTAGGCTTTTAAGAATAAACAACTCTCTTCGATTCGTGAAGTGGCGCGCCGTTTTAATATACGATCTACCTTTTCTGTCCGCCTTCCCGGTGTATAAATATCGAATTAAGGACGAGAGAATGATCGAGGGGAATAGATAGAGAATAATAGTAATGTGGAAGTTTCAATCTTGCTCCAATTCATTCTGTGATGGCTAGCTGTTCTATTTCGTTTCTTGCCGATAGCTATTGATAAGTATTATTAGTACTATATATTAATTTCAAGGACATCGAAAAGCTATGTGATTATCATTTCAAAAAATACCGAAAATTACGTACATGAAAGCTCGATATTAATATATCTTAATAATCAAGATATAGAAACTCTTTAAACTTAGTTAAAGTGCTAGATACTGTATAAAGAGTATAAGGGCAAAAGAAAAGTTTCCTATAGACCAACGTTGGTGAGATATCAAGTTGTAATTTATCGCATTTACTATGTGTTCCGAACTGCGCAGCTCACTAGTGAATTACGTTATTTATTGTGCGATCTAACGTTATTACTAATCCGACAGCGGATTAATAGCAGATCCGGTTTCATGCAGTATTCGTAAGGTAATGCCGACATGTATTAGATGCCTCAGGCATCACATGCCGGAATTCTTGGCAAGGGGTTTCTTGGTCGGCTACGTTGTTATGAAATATTGTATTTACCGCATTGTTAGCCTCAGGGTCTGTTGTGCTGGGGCGCAAACAGGAGGCTGTCAGGACCACTGCCCTACATTGGGCATGGCAAGCTGCACCAGACCTGGATTGCCTTAGGCAACACCGCCATGTCGCAATTATCTTACGAATACTGCATGGAAACCGGGTCTATAATTGATCCGAATGCCTGCCGGGTATACGGTATATCCGGAGGTTAGTCATGTAATTTAAATTTCCTCATAAATAGCAGGAAATAGGGGTAATGAAATACAGAGTCATTGACATCTCCAATTGGCTGGATACAGTACAGATCGTGACACGCCAGATGGGCTGGGGGAGTTGGGGACACATCAGCTATGACTTTATGTAATGCCGATTACCCAGCAGGGGCAGTCCTATATAGAGAGTCCCCGCTGGTCCTATGAAGGACCAGCGTTCAGTCTTTTACAATACAACCATATTGTACCACACGCATTATATTAGGCTTCTACCTCGCTTACCCACCTAAACCCAGAGACTGCTTGCGTGGTCTCACAGAGGCAGGAAGCATCCAAAACTTGTATTCTCACAACTAGAAGGTCACATAATCGTCAACGTACGGTATCAACACAATGACCCAATTCAATCACGGAACATACAAATCTAGATCTATTGACTGCCATTCGCGGTGTACGTATATATATATTCTGCCGGCGGGCGCCGATTGTTGTGCTCAGTGCCAAGAAATGATATATCCAGTCTATGGTGTTTCATCAGGGGCGGACTACGTATAAGGGCCAGCCATGCTACCCGTTCCTATGCTGTCCTGACCGCTCTTCAAACAATAGCAAAATGAGTCGAAGAGGACCTACGGCGACATACAAAACGAGGTCTGAGAAGAATGCGGCTCGACGGCTCCGCTATCAGCAGCGAAAGCGAGGTCCACACCGCCCTTCTCAACGTGGCTTATGAGGCGTTTAATGTGATGAGATTTGAGTGGGTAGTCCTTTTTTCCCATCGGGTCTACCCAGCAATGAGGGCCGTGCTGACACGTTGACTATTTTTGAATTCTTCCTAGGGAATACCGCATGGCTTTGAGGCAGCAGAACCTTCCACAATGGATGGTAGCCATCATCGTCCTTTATTCGGGGTATACGACAATGCGGTATTGTAAGATGAATACAGAAAGTGACGCAGCTATCAGAATGTGAATTTAGTTGGTTCACTATGGAAAGGTAATCAAAGAGATTCATTCACGGACTTGGAGTAGTGACCGATTGTAAGGAGAAGGTACTGTAGGCCGTCTAGCGAAAGGCCCCGATAAATTTCAGGACGATAGGGTGAAGTTGACGAAGCTCGGAGGGGAAGACTGAGGGTACAGCGTAGCGGTTTTTGGTTCGGAGATACCAAACTCCTTACGCCTACAGTTATCGGCCGCTTGGTGGTACCGCTCTGCCTTAGCGCGCAGTGCGGCAAAATATTACCTAACGGCTTGCTGACCACCGTGAACTATCGCAAGAGCCAATGTCAGACCTGCTTCTATCCTAGCCCCGGCCAGATCGGTCATTCGTACATGGTTTGTAAGCTGCGCTCTCTAGCTTATATCTGCGGAATCTCCGCGAATGAAGTAATTACTCATCCAGTTGTTGCTTACTGTACAGGGCATTCCCTTGTTTTTTATTCTTATCTCAGCTGTGCGTTTAGCGTCGTGTTACACCACATGAAACATATCTACCTATCAACTCGTGCTGTGGCAGCGATGCGTT